GTTAAGAAATTAAAACTTGAGGACCTTTGTACTCAGTTTCATCTAAATATTCACTGACTAAATTTTTATTTAATATAAAAAATGTGGTGTTGAGATAATTAGTTAATTGATCATGATATCCGGTTCTTGGTGTTTTGGTCGGGGTGGCCGGTCTGTGGGGGTGGCCAGTCTTTGGGTGACGGACGTTATACGGTGTGCCCAATTGCTGTTGGCCGTGGCTGTCTTCTTGAACAAAACGCTCTCTATAAGTGGAGAGAAGTTGTGTTAGTGAATGCCAAGCAGACTCAGCATGGGTGCTGTGGATTGAGCGAGATGAAGTTGACTCGGTTGGGTAATTATCTGGATTTCCGAGGTAGGTAGCAGCCCAATTTTCAGGGTCCTCATGGTACAATACACAAAATGCGATAGAGGTTCTGCCCAGAGCAACTTGAGCTGTCTTGTAGGGCTGTGGCTTCGGACGGCTGACATGCTTCGGTCTGACCGTGACACGTCGAGTCGACATGCCGAAACCCAGCACATGCAGTCAGATGAGTAGGACATTCATCATAGGAATGTCACCATAAATCAGCCCTATCGTTCTGTTGATGGGAGCAATGTCTTGGATTATTGCGATTGGTGGGGGAGTCATAACCACGGGGCAGAGTCATTCATTCATGCATTCATTCACATGTGTTTACCTGATCGAATTAAGGTTCATCAGCCGTTGCTGTTTTTATTAGAGACTCTCGGGTAGATGCCAAACTTAACAATAGACAAGGCATAATTAATACCAAGATTCAGTTCCAACGGCCTTGGGCGAGTACAAACAAAGCAGTACTAGGCTGCCTCACAACTGACCGTATTGAATGTCGGATATCGGTCCCAAATTGAGATACGCATTCCTTGACCAATGGTATTCTCGTACTGAGGTGAGAGTTGCTACCACTTGTCAAATAAAATACGAAGAGCCGGGAGACAATATCCTTATTGCGCCATCCGTGACGTACAGTGCGTTGAAAGTATTGGATCCCGCTAATCTGACAGCGAGGCCGCCCAGTAACTTTACGTCTACTCCGTACGGAACCCCCACATTTGACTCGAGATGGAACTCGATACAATCATGGCTCTGAAATATTGTGTTTTGCACCACAGCAATCAAACAATATCGTTTGTAACTTTTTATCCGTAGGTAGTTATCAAGGTTGTAAAACATTCTCGGCCACTAACGCCAAAACCCCAGGTCATGACCCTGAGCACGAGCCCGTGACCTAGACCATCTATGATGTGGTCGCACCATCAAGTCTCATGGGTAAATTCGAGTAACAAGGTACTTTTAATGGCCAAAGACCGAGCTCAAAAGATCCCCAGGGTTCCCCAGGCGATAATTAACTGTGGAGTGTATTTGTTACCCAGGCACTGAATATTTGCGATTCAGTATAACAAGGCATAAGGTAAGCTTCTTGGCCGTTGAGACTATAGATTAACTTTTGTATCATTGATTGTGGCTTATACTGTAACATCACCTCAAGGCGTTCCCCAGGATAGTCCATGAATGGTTGGGATGTGTTGGATGGTTGGATAGTAATGACATGGGGAAGCTTCGGAGCCTGATTGATCTTCAGTGACGTCTCGTTAGTTTACCTTAGTTTGGTATTCCAATCTCACCTACCTACGCCTGCATACCCCGTCTCTGCTCTGTTCTCCTCCGTCGGATACAGTCCCCTTCTCTTGGGTCAATCACTTTGTCTTATTATTCTTTCCCTGTCACTCGCTAAACCCTGCCTTTGCACCAACCAAATTCTGACAGCTGAGGACGAGACTGATTTATTATTGTTCTTCTCGTCATCTCTGGACTACAGTCTCCAGTCTCCAGCCCAACAGACCTAAACCGCCCAGTCCGTCCGTCTCACACCGCAGGACGCGAGGCTCTACGTATTGTTCTCTACCTTAGCTAGCTCAGACCCAAATTTAGGACCCGACAAACAGACAGATATCTCAAGTGGAGGAGGAGGACTCAGGACCCTGTTTGCCTAGACCAGACTACGCTGTCCGTTCTGCCCTGTCACTGCCTGAGCAAGAGGGGCTTTCGCTTTAGTTTCGCTTCTCCCTCTCTCTATCTCGCTCAGACAATCCAATCCCAATTCCGCGCCCGCCGCTCTCGAGTCCGCCCATCACACATATCCAGTCAAGCCAGTCCAGTCCATCCACATCCGTCTCCGACCCAAGATCCATTTTCTCCGCTGAGCTCATTCGACTCGAAACCCGACCCGACCGCCTCGATTTGTTTTTGCGCACAACAAATCCGTCGCTCTTTTCCTTGCGCCTTACTCTGTCGGCGACAGCGTCATCTTCAGCACCCGCAATCCATTATTATATCCATCGTCGACGTCCTCGACCCCTCAATGCGACCCGCCCACGCTCATCAACCCTCGCCGTCCTATACGAGGTAGACGCCCGAACCGCCAAGCCCAAGCGGCACTCACATTTATTCTTACGACCATTCCCGATTCCCTCGTCACAACTACTTCCAACAACAGTCACCTGCCGCCATGTCTTTTCGCGGCGACGACCAGCGAAGATATGGCCATGTGCCACCTGTGCAGTATCCGGTTGCCGGCCGCGGCCAAGAGTACCAGCAACAGCAGCAGCAGCAACAACAGCCGCACTCATCCTACGACGATATTGGACGCCGAGCTAGCTTCAACGGCGGAGACGACGCTGCTTATATTCAACCACCCATCAACCGATCTCCTGCCTTTGGCGGCTCTGGAGAGGATGAGCTCTTCATGAACAACAATGCGGCGGCCCGGCCAGGCTACGGTTCCACGAACAACGCGCTGTCGGGCTACCAGCACCAGTACCAAGATGTACCCCCCACGCCGACATACTCATACAATCCTCAAAGTTTTGCGCAAACTTCAGGCTTCTCGCGGTCGACATCCACCAATGCTCTACCATACCGCAACCAGCATCAGCCTCAGCCCCCCTCGCGTTATGCTTCGAATGCCAGCTCCTACACACCGCAGGCTTACGACCCTTCTGCTTATGCAAGCACCAATGTCCCACAACGACAAGCTTCTTACCAAGGATACAATACATATGGCCAGTCATATGGCTCGCAAACATCCCCTGGCTTCAATCAATCTACAGGAAGTTATCCGCAATCGGCGGCCTCTCCTGCTTTATCATCCGGGTTTGAGCAGCCGTTGCGGAGCCCCTCACTCAATGCCTCGCCTGGCGCAGCACAGACCTCGGCATATGACCAGTCTTATAGCCAATACCCAGGTCAATTGTCTAATGGGGGAGGATCTTTCTCGAGTGCTTCGCAGCCTCCATATCCTACCGCGACGCAAATGCCAGTCGGGCCATATTACTCCCCGAATGAGCATAATTCACTCTATAATAGAGGATCCCGTTCAAATTCACAGGCCTCGCCTATGGGATCACCCGCGAACCCTGGATCAGCATCACCCGGACTGCAACGGCACCCGACGAATGCACCTTTGCCAAGTCGTCCTGTCGACGATGAGCTCACCTGGAGTGCCGGACATGAGCGCATTACGAGTGACAACCTTATGCAAGAGTTGGAGCTAGAATTGGGCGGTTCTGGACAAGGCTACCGTCCCCTTCCTGAGCCTGAGAATGGTCATTATGATGACGATCTTCATGGCCAGCGATTGCAACGTTTTGACTCAGGTGCCACTACAATTCCTAACAATGCCAGCCGAACGACATCGACGCGAACTGGTCAGACCGCTTACGAGCCTGAAGAAGAAGACGATGACGCATATGGAGAGGCTGGTCTGATGGCTATGCGGCAGGCTGAGCTTGATGAACAGCGCTTCAGTACCGGCTTCGGATATACAGACATGCCTGCTATGCCAGAACCCTCTCCAGAGCCCGCTCCTATCAACTCTTTGTCAACGAAGACGTTACATACTCACCCCGAAGAGCAAGGCCACAGCAGCGACAGTGATTTTGCTGGTGTAGACTTGGGAATGCTAGGAGGTGGATTTGGTGGTACTTTGACATACGGCGGGGATGTTGGATCTCCACCCGCCTCATCCGGCCAAGATACTGGTCGACCCCTGCCCACGCCAGGCTATTTCAACCGTGCATATGATCAAGGGGAAAGTGTGCCTGCTTTCAAGACGGCAGAAATAGACTACGGTGGTACAGGAGGCTTGCAGCCCCCAACACAACATCGGCTAAGCTTCGACGAGGAGGATGAACGAGTATCACTGCGGTCTCGACAGAGTGGAACAGAGTCCCCTAGTAAGGATGAACTGCAAGATCTGTTCTACCACCCGGGACTATCAAATCGACCCCTCCCAGCTATCCCAGGGCCGGGATCTGATAGCAGCTCGATGCTCTCAGTTCAGACCAATAACCGACAGCAATACCAACACGCATACTCGCGTAGTACCGATTCGCGATTCGGTGCGCCGGATAACCCTGAAGCTTACTATACGGGCAATCAAGCTTACAACCTGCAACCCGAACGATCCATCTCTTTGGCTGGTCATAGCCATACACCTCAGGTGCAAACACCTGCTCGATCTAGGACTGATGCTGCCGAGGAAAGAAGGAAGCTCGCTAGGCACGGCCATCAGCAAGCGCCATCGAACCAATCTTTCCCAGAATACGAGACTCCTGCTGGCTCGATAGCGGCCTTCGATGGAATCACACTACCAAGCGGTCGAAAGAAGAAGTTCATTCCTTCCAAGCTTAATGCGTCTGATTTCCGCAGATGCACTGAGCCATGGGCGCTCAGCGGTCTTGAAACTTGGATTCGTGAGATGGGAGAAGGCGAGATGGATCTAAGGACCAAGACGATCGAGGAGGCTTTGATCAACCTCTTCACTGGCAAGATCCCCATGATGAATGTGGCAGATGCCGAAGTTCTTAGTACACATGTAGTATCCTTGATGCTAGAACGAGGTGTGCTTGTGCCTGATGAAGAATGGGTCAAATTTGGAAACGGCCGCATCTCTGGAGTTTTGTGGCAATTGACCGGCTCTGGATGCTATGCTCCCAAGGTCCACGACGAAGAGATTGGTGGCCGGTGCTACTCTCATCATTGTACTCGTACTCTCAAGAAGGTTGACTTGGAGGAGCTCGCCCAGGACTCTCAACCTGCAGACGAGTGGCACGTCTTTTATGGTCTTACCAAGGCCGACTGGGAATCAAAGCCCAAGAAGGAGGTCGAGCGTCAGAACATTTTACACGAAATTGTTACTGGCGAGGAAAACTACATCAAGCAGTTGGATATCTTCCGCAGGTATTACAGGGATCAGCTTCGGGCCATGCAACCCCCTATTCTGAAGCCCGAGAAACGAGACAAGTTTTTGCATACGGTGTTTGGAAAGCTTGACCAGGTCCAGGCAATCAACAAGGACCATCTTTTGTCGCAGCTCAAGTATCGACAACAAGAGCAGGGTCCTTGGATCATTGGCTTCAGTGATTTGTTTCGAGAATGGATTCGCAAGGCCAAATCAGTATATATCGAGTATGCTTCGGCTTACCCCAACGCAGTCTATCAGGTTCGAAGGGAGGCCGATCGCAATATTCTCTTCAAGCGATTCTTGGACGACATGCAGAAGCAAAAGGTCTCTTCGAAGCAAGATTGGACACATTACTTGATCGCGCCTATTCAGCGCCTTCAGCGTTACTCCCTTCTACTCGACAGTGTCGAGAAAAAGATGCCAACCGACAGCGAGGAAAAGACGAACTTGGCCAAGGCCATCGCGGAAATCCGACAAGTCACTCTCGAGTCTGATACCAAGGTCGAGGAACAAAACAAGAGAGTCCAAATGATGGAGCTGAACAGAATGCTCGTGCTGCGGCCAGGTTTCCATTCTGTTTTGAATCTCGACCATCTTGGCCGTGAGTTGATCTTCCAAGGTGACCTACAAAGAATGGGATCAAAGGGAGTTAGATGGGTTGACACACATGCTTTGCTATTCGACCACTACATGATCCTGGCGAAGACGGTGACTCCTAAGGAGGGCAAGGACAAGAAGTATGATGTTTCCAAGGAGGTACGTGAAATTTACTGCACAGCTTACGAAACCACATCTAACAAAGTGTAGCCCATCCCCATGCCTCTCCTGTTTCCTGAGAGCATCAACGACGAACCAGTTCAGAAGCAAAAGGGTATCACTGCACCATTGGGAAGAACTACGGCAGCGGCCGCCTCCAGCACTCAACTTAACAAGGTCAGTAGCAACACTGGTAGACCTGGTCTGGAGCACGCAGCGACAAACTCGTCTATTGGCTCTGGTCTTACACCAACCGGCTCGAACGACACTGAAGGAAAGATCCTGTACCCATTCAAGGTCAAGCATCTTGGTCACGAGGTTTATACTCTGTATGCATCGTCAGCCAAGGACCGTGCCGACTGGTGTAACATGATTATCGAAACCAAGACAAGGCACGCCAAGGCACTCTTCTCTCAAAATGCTGAGCCATTCAGGCTGCGGGTTCTCGCGGATGCAGCTTTCCACTACGACACCGCCTCCATGTACGCAAGGTTCCCGAGTGTTGCAGTCAAGGGCACTCCTCTTGACCGGGCAATTCACGAGTTGGAGAGCGTGCTGGGACCGGCTCAGGGCGTCGCCCCCGTGTGCCGTGCTCAGGTCAACTGCGCTACCAGCTTCACTGCCTTTGGCAAGTCTGTCATTGCAATTGGAACTGATTACGGAGTTTATATCTCGGAGCCATCAAATCCTCGCGGATGGCAGAGGGTATGTGACCCCCTATTCTTCAATCTGATATAGCTAACATTTTCACCACAGACGGTCCAAGCAACTCGCGTCACTCAAATTGCTGTCCTTGAGGAATTCTCTGTCTGTGTGCTCATTGCCGACAAGAACCTCATTTCATATCCTCTAGATGTGATCGCTCCAGTATCTGACTTTTCGGCCCCTCTCAACGATAACCCTCGACGGGCACCACAGAGACTTGCCAAGGATGTAACCTACTTCGCCACAGCCAAGATGAAGGATAGGATGCTCCTGTTCTATAAACGAAAAGAAGGTCTGCACACATCATTCAAGGTTCTCGAACCTATCTTCCAGAAATCTACGGAGAAGAAGTCTCGACTCTTTGGTGGACGAAAGACTGGCGGAGGAGGATGCGCGGAGACATTCCGCGACTTTGACGAATTCTTCTTCCCAACTGAGTGCTATTCCCTCAGTCTGTTCCAAACATATATTGCAGTGGCGACAGCGAAGGGAGTCGAGATGCTCACCCTGGATAAGAAGCAGCCTATGTCTATTCCCGACCTTAAAGCACCTGCAATTGCCAACATTGCCAGCCGCATCCGAGATCAGAAGCCGCTCGGCATGTTCAGGCTGAACGAGAACGAATTCATCGTGACATATGAGGACTGCGCCGTATACGTGGACAAACACGGTGATGTCAGCCGCACCCTGATCATGGAGTACACGGGCAAACAGAAGAAGGCCCGTGGTGCGACCATGTATGGACAGTATCTACTCCTCTTCAACGAGGACTATGTTGAGGTGCGCAACGCGGAGAACGGACGATTGCGCCAAATTATCGCCGGTCGGGACGTGCGCGTGCTAGATCTCGGCGTCCGTGGACCGACTGGCCGAAGCACATTGAATCCGCAGTCACACAGTAACGGATATATGCAGTCGACAAGCGCGGGTAGCGAAGGGTCAAAGGGCACCGTCAAGATTGCCATGGCCCATCCGGAGCTCCCAGGTCGACAGATCGTTTTGGAGATGCTTTTGAACGACGGACACACGGAGAAATGAGAGGAAGCGAACGATTGATAATGGTTACGATGATGAGCATCTCTGGAGACTACCCACCCGGCGTGGGTACAAGATCTTGAAATATGAATGACTTGAGATCATGAGATGAACAATCAAATTGATGGGCCGTTTTAGAAGAAATGGGGCTATCTATGGCGAAGGGAAATATTTGTGGCAGGGCGTTCATAGGTGGTGTGTAAGAAGTTGCCCGTGTTATGAATGCCATCATGAATGATACCTAAAGAACAATTTAGAGAGATATCTATAGTGGATTTGGATTATAATGACAATGGAAGTCACTGGCTGTTGCATAGCTGGTATGATATACCTACCTCTATAACCACTATATCGTTGATATTCACACAAATTACGAGATGCAAGCCATGTCTTGTACATGTTTATTTGTTGAACCCAACCCATCCTCAGTTTTACATGCTGACTATATGTGTGGTAATCTACCATGTAAAAAGTGATAACCTTTTCCTGAGCTCCCCTGACTCTGGAATGGCTTTGCAATACCCTCCTTTTCAAGCAATAAAAGCGTCCATTTGCGGCCCACTCCTTTCGAAACCAGTCCCTCTGTAAGGAGTAATCGACAGTGGCATTGCAAATCGTGAGATATGTCGAGTAAAGGCCACCCCTTTCGACAATTGTCTAACTTGCCCATGCTTGATTGCATTTAAGGCTTGGCCTCCTGGATGGTCTTCTTGGCGTCAGCCTTAATGTCCTCAACGACACCCTCCAGGCTCTTCTTCTTTGCTGACTCGTAGCTAAGAATTCGGGTGATCTGGACGAGGCCGACCATTCCGAGGAAGAAGTTGACAGCGGCAAGGCTAAGATACAGCTATTAGCTTGAGTTTGTATGATTTAGCGGGTTGTATGCGTACAGGTAGTTCTTGGGCTTGATGATGAGGCACCATCGAGTCCAGATGATACCGGTGCAGGTCAGAGCGAGGTTCTGAGTGAAAGAGAGCTTCTCGGCGGGACGAGCGAAGTCGGAGATACCGGCAAGGACAAGAGCCCACTGTAGATGACGAACAAAGTCAGTAATTGTGATTATATCGGGTTTCCGACGTGGTAAAATTGAGTTTCGAGAGTATTTGCATTCGTAGTGTAGATATCGCGGGATAATATAGTCAACGAACCTTCATGACAGGAGCCCTACAACCACGCATATTAGCATTCTGTGTCAACGATCGCTTGTTCTAGACTTGTCCTCACCAGAAATGCACAGTCTTGAAGCCAACCTCGCTCTCCATCATGCGCTTGAACCAGCTCTGCTGCTGCTGCTGGGCGCCATCAGTGCTCTGCCATCGACGACCGTTGCCCTGGTAGAAGTTCTGTCGGAATGCTTGCTGACGGAAAGCCTGTCGAGCGGGCGCGGCGAGGGTAGCCTGACGGAAGAGGGGGCGCGAGGCGCGGAAGATGGTGTTTGCGGAGGAGGCCATAGTTGCTATGTGATTGTCAGTACCAATATCAATATTAATATGAGATGCAATATCAGGAATCAAAAGTTAGTCAAGATAGTTCGCGCGCAAATCGAGACATTCGGCGACCCCATAAAAAAGTCTAAATGACACAATTGAATCCGTGACCAGACAGTCAATAGCAACTTACACGTCGATCTCTTGGTGGAGGGGAGATGGTTCAACAGACAGAGACAGAGAGAGGTTGTGGTCAAAAAGATGAGGTTCAACGTCGGCGAAAGAAGCTTTGAGACGTTGGGGCAAGGGTGGTCGGTCACTGCCGCCCCGAGATAGCCCAACTCTACTGCTGTGGTCTGTGGATTTAGCGCACCATCCACTAAATCCATCACTGCACGGCGCCCGGAAACCGGAGATATCGTGCGTCCGGGGCTGACTGCGAACTACGTGGGGGAGGAAAAGCTGTCAGCGGCACCGGAGGCTGTGCATAACTGAATTATGCACGCACACTATTCCGCCGTTGGCTCTTTTATGCAAATTATACGTACCCTTGTACCGCCTTTCAGTTTATTCCGCCCGAGCCTCATTGAGGAACCTAAGGATCCTTGCCAACCACAAGCTAGCAATTACTGAGCACTTCAAGGTCGACCTGATTCCGTCGATAGGTTCTCTTCCAACGACTCAACCACGTCAATTCGCTTCATAATGTCGGCAAAGTACGGTTTCACAAAGTCTCTCCGCGAGGTGCGATTCCTCTTCTGCCAGACTTCGGAGCAGAGCGCGGCTCTTCGGTACGTTTGAACCATATACTCCCGAACGACAACGACAACAACAAACGACATGATACTGGCCCAATTGGGCGCATTGGAGGACACGAGCGAGCGAAGGACATTGCACAAGGACGGTGGAGCTTGAGGAATCATTGGACTGATTGTTTCTCGCGCCAATACAGATCATTCATCACCCGATCGTACCCTACCATGAAGCGCAACAACCCCAACATTCCCATCCTGATCCGAGAGGCCGCTGGCACCCAGCCCAAGGTCTTTGCCCGATATGGTTCGTATTCCATATCACTGGAGCTCCTCGGACATACTAGAGCGATATCATCGAAATCACGGCAGTACTGACATGATTAAAACAGACCGAGGCGTTGAGAAGTCACAGATCCTCGAGGGTCTATCCGACAAGGAGATTGAGGAGACCGTCACTGGCTTGGTCAAGGCTGATCAATAGAAACATGATCATCGCTTGGTTAATATCTGCGAAAAGAAAGAGAAGTCAAAGGGAGAGACCTCGAGCTCGGGCATTACGACGATGAAATGTACATAGGGTCAAATCAGCATGCGACAAGAGAGCATTGTACTACTACGAAGCCCATCCATCGTCTTGAATATCGACCTCCTCGTAGCTGCTTCATGGCCTCGTCGCTCGCTATTGGGGTCATATTGTTCCCCAATATCATACCGAGATACATATAAGCTTCCGGGCTTCGAATATTAATGTAGCAGCACCTCACCATTATCAAAAAACATAACAAACCATAGCTCTGTACTCACGGTACTATATTACACCTTGCTGAAATCGCACTTTTTTATACTCCCCTGACCCGATACCGTGATGACGTGCCCAACAACAGACCAGATATCGCAAACTATTTTAATGGACAATCCAACTTGTCCATGCCCAATGCAAGCCCATGAAATCCACTACCCTGTCCCCTATTCACCTTTTTCTTTTCTTCCTCTTCTACTGACTTGATGTCAAGTAGAGCGAACAGTACCGGCCGAAATAAATTCACTGACCATTTCTCGATTCATGTCTGCTCAGTCCTCCCTGTTCTTCCTGCTATGTCTCAGTCACGTCACAGTCTAGTTCTTCGTGACAGGAGATCCTTGTCCGAGTCCACCGTCATCTTGGGTAGATTTTGTCTTTCCACCCCAAATCAAGGGTGTCTGTGGCTTGGACTGTGCCCGTTCCCGAGAGGCTGGAAGTGAGGGCCAGTCATCGTTGATCAGGCCAGGCTTCTTGACTTTTCCCCCTTGATTCTCTGGAGTTTGAGGCATCTCTTGAGCTTTCTCGACCTTTGCCTCAGCCTTGTCGGCCCTGGCACTCACCGTCACTGCCCTCTCCTTGCCTTTGCCTCGTTTCGAACTTTTTGCCGGAGACTTCTTTCCCTCTCCTTGATGAGCAGGCCCCTTTTCCTTTCTAGGAGTTCCTTTTTGGACCGCTTCTGAGATGGCTCGACGACGTTGAGGGGTCTGGCTAGTTACAGCGGATGGGGCTTTTTCATTCTGAAGAGGTGTCACGCATGCATCATCGTGCCCAGTCTTGGGGACCTCTCGGATCGGTTCATCTGTTTGGTCATGTTTGAAAGCTAATTCATTCACTGTGCCACTGCTTGGTGCTTCACCACCGCTAAGATTGGCAACTGGTCCTTTATTGAGAGACGCCGTTCTCGATGGAGATACAAACTCTCGGGCCTCGGGATTGAGGCGGCTCCTTGCGCCATTTCCATGATCACGCAAGTTCAGCGAGTCATCAGATTCGGGAAGGCTCTGGCATTGGAAAGCAAAATCGGATGAAGGAGGTGGCGCTTGAGCATCGAATTGTTCTCCTGCAAGCATTGAGCTAGGAATCATAGGACGAGGTCGACGTTGCTTGCCAAAGCGAAGTGAACCTCCTCTACCCATTCTGAATCCCCGACGGCCGCGTTCGTCCTCATCAGGGGAATCTGATTCGTCAAATGAAGGTAGGGGTTGAGGCTGAGACTGGTGCTGGTGCCGGTGCTGAGTAATTTCGTTCTTATTCCCATGCTTCTTACTTCGTTTAGCAGACCCAGATACAGAAGGCTGCTCAGGGTCATCGTGGTGTCGCTTGATAGGCGAAGATGAACCCGATTCCTGACTTCCGATATGACCTCCATAGTGTGTATTAGACCCCAACCGTCCACTACTACTATGCATGTGCTGAGGTGCCATGTAGCTGGATTGAGAAGAGGATGGCTGATTTTGTTGAAAGGCGTGATTGGATTCGTTGTTCGTGGATGCCATGTTCTTCGCTTTTTTTTTCTTGGCCTTCTTCGCATTCTTTCCTTTGCCTCTTGGTAGCGTGTCTGAAGTATGTTCTTGCTCAAATGATTGTTCAACCTTGTATGTGACATTTTCGGTCATGGGAGAGGTTGTAGGCATTTCAGATGGCTGTGCTTCATCCAGGGTGGTTCCCTGCGATTCTGTGGCATCTTCTCTTGTTGACCTGGTGGAGTGAGCAGCAGAAGAGCTTTTTGGTGCCTGCGGCAACGGAAACCTAGACTCGGGGTTCTCGAACGTAGATGGCTCGTAAACATCGCTGGTGCTTGGAGTAGAGGTTACATTCTGTCCTGAGATTGGCACCCCCAGCTTAGTAGCATTAGGTTCGCGATTGTCGCTCTTTCCAACCCCGGAGTTGCTGCCATGCTCGATGGCGATGCTGATGGGTTTCATTGGAGTAGCCAAGCGAGGCCCACGGAGAGTCAGAGGCATAGGAATTTTAGCCCATGCTCGTTGTCTCTCTTTGATCTCATTCTCAGAAAAGACGCTTGGCGCACGACTGTGACTGTTCTTGCTGACAGTGGGTTCAGACAGTAGTTTAGCTTGATGACCAGATATCATCTTTGTTTCTGCCCGGCTTTCAAGCGCCTTCATGGGCATCTCATTCTGATGATGTGTTGTCGTATCAATACTCGCAAGTCCTTCTGCTGTTTCATTCGGCTTCATTGGGGTTCCTTGGGAGGCAAGGGAAGCTTTCGAGGGGGTGCTAGGCAAGGAAACACGAGCTTTGACCCCAGTATACTTGCTTCCGTCACTTCGCGGGCTACCTGGGTCATCTTGATCAGGGTGATGGATTTCATCCAAAGCTTCTTCAGACGGAGGTTTAGTCTGCAGTATCTCAGGAGAGGATGTGTTTTCCTGCGCCTGCTGGATGGGAGGAGGGACAATTTGCCTTGGAGCAAGAGTTGGCTGTCCAGGGAGGAGTGCTTGTATGCCGGGTTCGGACTGCACAATTGTAGATGGAATACCAGTGGCTGGAGACTGTAAGAACCCAGACACAGAACGTTGCCCTCCGTTGGGTTGCAAGAAATGGCTGTTATGTGCTTGCCCAGGGTTGACTACAGCCGGATGAATGATGCTTGGCACCATGTGAGGAACTGCGGCAGTAATTGGCGCATTGCCTGGCATCGATAGGCCGAAAGGATAAGGAGAGAATAGCACAGCGGCAGAGTTCTGACCAGAAACTCGACCTGGAACTGGCCGAGTGGGTGCTTGCTGCGAGAGTGTCCATTTTGATCGCAAAGCAGGGGAGAATGTAACAGATATGCCTTGCTCAGGCATGTTGCCGCCGCCAATAGTCAGTGCTTCACCAACTGACGAGGATTTTACAAACCTAATTCTTATTAGTTGGTCATTGATTTCAACATGAATGTATAACGAGTCGTGACTTACCGGGCAATATAACGTCCTGGTTCTTTCGAGGCGATCGGGAACACTTCGTCCACATGTCCATATCTCTCAGCCAGGCCAAACTTGAGCCGTGCGAGTATGTCTGGCCCAGTAATTCCTTGATAACCTTGGACAATGATGTATACAGAGCGGTCACGAGAATCGCAGATCGGGCAAGAGCAAGGTACATAGTCTTTGATCGTCAAACCATCCTGAACGTTCTGGCAAGTAACTGGATCCCGACGCCATGAATCCTTCCATGGTGTCCCCTCGCGCCTCTTCTGGTTGAAATCAGGGCCAGTATGAGGTTGCGCGACAGGCGCAGTTGCGTTTCGCTGGTTGTAACCACCGCGGCGATTTTTACGACCCCCTCCGCGATGGAAACCTCCACGACTCAATCCAGCATTCCCACCGTTGCTATTCTCATGGTTTTGGTGGGACCATCGGCCATCATTCGAATCAAAACGATCGTTGCGGGAAGAGTTGCTGATATTTCTACCACGACCAGTCAATGGACCCCTCTGGGGCGGCTGTGACTGCTGAACTTGTGGAAATCCATGGTCAAATCCATTCTGCATGGGAAAGTTCTGTTGGGGAGGTAAAGAATAGTTTCCTTGAGTGGCAGGGTTAAAGGTTCCTGGTGAGTAAAAAGGTGCCCCGGGAGGGGTCTGCATCGCGATTTGCCCAGAAAGTCTCATATCTTCAGGGAGCTCAGTATTCATCGCGATGTTTTGAAAGCCTACATCAGGTCTTTGCATCTGATTGAATGTACTCATGGTCCCAGGATACTTCATTTCTTTCTGATCGTGAGCCACTGGCTCATCAAAAGCTCGGTTTGGTCGCTGGCTGTTCTTGGGTCTGTCATTGGTGCTCAACCGCAACTCTGCGCCTCTGATGATGTTTCCAGTGATTTGGTCCTTTGAACGACTCGAAGTAGCCTGGGCTAGTTGCTAATCAGCCTTCTGACTATCGGTCGGAGGCCTGTGGTTTGTACCCTGTTTGGCATTTGCAACATCTTTTGTAGGACTAGCAAGACTTGAGTTACCCATAACTGCTGAGCCTGGCAATGATGTTGTCACTGTGGATTTTCGAGCTCCTCGTGTGGCCCGGGGGTTTTTGGTGCCATGTCGTTTGACTCTTGTGGGGGTCATTGCATCAAAGTCCTCCTGCTCCTCCTGTTCGTGGTGTCCGTTGGAAGAAGAAGCGGCCTCCTCATCATTTTCCTTACCATTAGTGTGGGGGGATGGTGTTCGGACTGAAGGGGAAGGCTCTGTAGATTTACTTCTGGCCTGAGTTTTTACCCGGAGACCACAGTAAGCGGTAGTGTCGTTGGCCTGCTTTTGTTCGATCGGAGTTGTCTCGCTGTTGCCGTGGGCGGCAGGCCCTGCTGCTGATGCGGATTGGTGGAGCGCTTCTACAGCACTGGGCATACGGCATTCAGGCCGTCTAAAGTAGTGTTTGCCATCAAGCACCATGAGTGGGTGAGTGACTTTCTCTGAAGCCGGGGAGGAATGGTGAGGCTGCCATTCTGTTGGTCTCGTAGACAGACCCGAAGGTCCGAGGACACGTTGGCCAGCTATGAAGGTGTCAGCATAACGATAGAACCTAATTCTGAAAGCAAACTTTACATACCTAACCAGTTTTCGAGGTGCCCCTTTTCATAAAACTCCTTGAAGTGATTAGGCTTCATTGCACCTGGCCTCAGTTTCTCGGGTGATAGTAACAGAGATCGTCGATGCTCAAGGGCACTTGCGATAAGATGGATTGCATCATCCGGAAGGCCTTTCATAGCTTCCCAACCGATGACACCATTGATAGAAAGACCAGTTTCATTGCTCTTGATGAGTTTGTCACGGTTTTCGTCGTCATACAGCCAGCGGTCAACCCATTGGCCAACTTCGATGGAGAAAGCATTATAGACGTCGAGGGCGATGGACTGGTTCTCGAGAAACAGTTGACTAACCACATTCCATAGGTTCAAAGCTCCGTAATTGTAAATGTCTTGGGCGTCAAAATAATCCCACAAACTATCCCAGCAGTAGGGATGCGGCATGTCTTTTATGACCTCCCAGTAGAGCTTGCGGAGTGAGTTGCAAGCAGATTGAACTTCGTCTGAGGACCAAAGGTGAACGCGGCGCTGGGGCAATAGATGCTCCATGAAACGAAAAGGGTTCGATCCATTAGAGGTAGAGAAGACGGCTCTGGCGTCGACTGGAGGGTTGTTGTAGAATCCCACAGGGAGGTAGTCTTCGACGTACGTTTGAACGACGCCCTCGGGACCAGGTGTCTGTAGCATTTTGTAGAAGTTGGGTAGGCCATTGGGGTAGAAGCTGGTGAAGGCTTCGCGCAAGTTAGGCGGTTGGTCTCTGGCATAAGTCCGGCCTGGGTCCAAATTTGCTTGAGGCGGCGGCGATGGCCCGTTGGACATGGAGAAGTCACCCGCCGAAGCGGGTTGAGGTTGAGCCATGATGCTCTGTGTAACGGTCGGTTAGCACATGATGAGAATAAGGCGCGCTTCATTTTGAAAACGAGGCGAAAACTTTCATGCCAATTTAGAAGACTCTTGGGGGTCAGGAGATAGAAGCAATCACCTCGTCTCGATAAATCACAGGATGCCTAAGTAGGGGTGCTTGAGGCTTACCTTGAGAAGTGAAGCGCCCGAGCGTAAGAGAAGGGCAATTTATGGTTCAGATTCAGGTATAAAATGAAGGAGATGAATTTCAGAAAGAAGGTAGTTCTTTCCTTAAGTCGATGCTCACCGCGCGATGATGCGCCGCGAGGAAAGAGTAGGGGAGAGTTGTCGGTGTTCTCGAGATGAGCGGGAGTGAGGGTTAAGGAGAAAGAAGAGAAAGTAGAGAAAAGGATCAAGGGAGAAAATAAAAACAAAAGGAAAATCGAAGACCGGGCAACGATTGTTCTACCTTGGCCCTTACTGCCGCTGACACTGTCACCGATTAAACATTAAGTGACTGGCACTGGCAACGTTAGTAACTGGCACGCACTGGCACGTACTGGCACAGTTGGTGCAGACCTGGACTGGTGATGAGATTCTCTCGCTTGCAAGTATCCATTCACCAACAGTTATGCCTTTGCAGTGCTTGCTTGTGACTCGAGGAGTGCAAACTGTCAAAGTCAAACAAAGGTAAGGAAACCATCCTGAACGGCTCCCAGCCTGATTGCCAGCTCGCCTACAATGGAGCGTAATAGACTTTGGTCACAATTAACCTTGGGCTTGCCGGCAGTTATATAGATAATAGCAAGATTAATTTTGCTCAAGGTACTCAACGTGTCAACAATGCAGTCGCCCAAGCGTCTTGCAGCTCAACGCGGGTGCTTGCTGATTCTCGCTCCACACAAACGGCCACTCTGGTATAGGTAGATTGTGAAATATCTGTCGGAGAACTCGTTTCTTGCTTAGTTCAGGAACAATTCCATTCGATCAGACGAGGCTAATGCCAGTGCCCTTTGGTGGCATACAGTTCACGTCTGGTAAATTTGGACGCCAAACTTTGGTATTGTTCACAACGGGCCTTGTTGTGGGTCGACTGGCAATCGTACAGAAGGGAATGTCTTGTGGCATTTCGAAAAGAAAATCGAGCGTTTGTCAACCTACTATCGTCGGTTCATGATGGGTCACTAATACAGCATGCTAATATGGCTGATCGTCAGATGGTGTCAATCATTGACATAGTATATACAGAGAGGGGTTATGCGATAGTTCGTTGACAGTTTTAGAGACGTTACTTCTGTGCTTTCAGAAGCTTGAGGATCTCAGACTCGTTGTCGCCCGCAATGGCCTTGCCATTATTCCAATCCACAACCTATACGTATATTAGTCAGTATGTTTCCATCATGAGATTAAAGAGGCAACGTACCACTGGTCGAATGAAGTTCTCTTTGCTTTCCTTGAACTTCCTGAGAGCCTCCTTCTCGTTGTTTGCGCCCTTGATCACGTTGGGGATCCCGTTGCTTCCAACATATTCCAGAATTGTCTTCACCTGGTCGTCTGTAGGAGGATCTTCGGTGATGTTGAGCTCAAACTGGTCTCGAATAGGTGCCGTCTGGGCAGAGTGGTCACTCGCTTGGTCAAGAGTAGCGCCAGAAGTGGCATTGGCAGAGACCTGCTTCAAAAGGTTGGCGACTCTGACGGATGCCGGAGAGCTGGCCTTGTGGAAGACTGTCACGATATCGAGTGTCTTATGCTATTTGCTTGTTAGCAATTACGCATATCTAATCTTGGCCTCGTAACTTACGAAGCGAAACATTTTCCCAGACTGTTTCTCAAAAGTTTATGTTGAGAAGACAATTGTAGAGAGTTCACGATTGTTCATGGAGGTTGATGTCGGAGCTCCGATTCGGCATAGCTCCATGAAGCTTGTCACGCCGAAGATGACTTAATGGCTCGGGTCTGCAGGGCCCGTGCATAGACCCCACCACGACACCCGCTATCTTCCGCCTCCTCATGGATGACAAGACATATATGATAGAGACGGAATGTCCTTGGGACATGTGTGTTTTAATGCTATTCGCCTTAAATCTAAGGCCTTTTGGGATCACTTGTAGATACGACATCAGAAATATTGTACTATTCATTCCAAATCTCAGGTCTCGATTATTGGATTCGCTATAACTTCATCGTTGGTCTCTAACCATATTTTCTTTTATTCCTTTCATCGAGTCTGAATGGCAACTTACTTCGGAGAAGTAAGCTCAAAGGGGGTACAAAATATAAACCTTTTGGTGATAACTTATAACTTTATCAAAAGTTGAATATTAATCCTCTGAGAGGTCAAAGTTTCATTAATTCAACCAGTCACTTTGTCCTGGATAGTGGTGGTGTTAAAGTCAGTGTGAAAGTTCACGTCAAGGTCCACATCTCAGTAGATACCTCGACTATCAGTCGTGGTTTTGTGTTTTGTAAACTCAGCGATCACGAAATGTTACAAGCAGATTGCCTATAAAGTTTCTAAGAAATCAAGTGTAATGATCGGATGAGGCTTGGCTAATACATCTTGTTTGCTCCAGTTTCAAACTTACGTAGGGTGTCATAGGTAGCAAGCCTTGACGTGAGAAAGAATAATTGGAATGTTGGGTTTCCACTGCTTCCATATATACAAAATGGAATATCTCTCTTATTGAGAATTCATGAGATGTTGTTGAGTCTCTCACGTGGCCTGGTGTCAAGGATCATAGGCAGCCGCCTCGCCAAGCTGATATCAACCGCTTACGCTAGAAGATCGACTGTAACAAGCATATGTTGCAGAAACCCTAAGGAAGAGCTAAAATCTTTTTCTTTTTACTTATGACGTATGTGTTGCGATCTGATGCGTTTTGTTGTGATGAGCAAGGACGTTCTTTTATAATGACGTATTCTATGAAGTCAGGTTGTGGAGAAGATGTACGACCATGGCACTGATTCATCGTCGAAGAGGAACTACAAAAGGGTCTCGAGATCGATTGAACTTTTTCTCATACAACATACATCTCATCTCTTCACAGAATTCTTCCTTTTCAGCCACTAAAAACACAACTTCTACACATCCATCATGTCTGGCTACTCCAACGTTGGTAACCGTGGTGTCTACGAGGCTGGCGATCAGAGAAACGCTCCTGAGTCGGAGCGCAACGTTGAGGACCCCTACAACGAGGGCAAGGAGAACTCTCACAACAACCTTGACTCCAGTACGTATTCCATGGACCAAATATGAGAAAGTGTTCTAACAAAATTGCAGAGGATGAGCGATCCATCGCCAACCGCCTGGCTGCTGAGGAGGTTAGTTGAGCCGCCGCAAGAGGTTATCCACTATATACTGATGCAAAACAGAAGCGATCCGAGACTGAAGACGATCTCGAGACCGCCCAATTGAAGAAGGATCCCACTCTACCCGTAAGTCCAATCGAGATCTGGCTCTGTTTTGGTGCCAAAAACTAACAGGAACAACAAGGCTCGCGCTCACGGCAACGAACCTTCCAAGGGCGCAAAGGTCGATGCTCAACTCCAGGCTGAAGAGGAAGAGGAGTTGAAGCGCAAGGGCAAGGCTTAATTGTAGCAATACTCTAGATCACGGCCGTTTCATTGCAGGCAAATGATTCGGAAAGGATGAATTAATGATTGAATTGAAAGCCGAAACGCGACTCTGCATTGTATATGTGAATGTGAGGAAGTCTAGGGGTCTTGTTGAAGCATAAGTCTGTCTCAACGATAGCTCAGTCTAACGCCCCCGGCACATTTGGTGTCATACTATCTGCATTTATGTTCCATTTCGATCGTCATCAAACATTGAGTTAGGGGTTGTACAGCATATCACATGAATAAAACGAAACGAACGGTATGGCTTCTGAATGTTTATAGAATGATTATTAATTTCAACTATGGACATTAAATATGTCAGCCTACTGCGAGCCTGACTCGCCGCCACAGGCAAATTGAAACTTGCGACCAAAGAGAGATGAAGTGTATCACTATAGTCTTGAGTTAGTCTTTGTAAAATGGCAGGTCATGCAAGACTGAATGTAAGACAAAATGTGCTTTCAGAATATGTAAGAAATTGAATATCAGCTATCCGCCCGATTTAGCCACTCCGGCGAAAGAGAGCCATCAAGCAGAATCAATCGCAAATTACCTCATCCTTGTGCGAGAGAGAGAAGAAGGGGAAAAGGGAAAAGTGCTGGATCCTTACCTTGATGCACTCAAAAATGTCGCGTGCCTCTTCGATCATAAAGAGGAAGAGATTTGTTGGCTGTAAAAGACTTGACATCTACCAGAAATTTTCTTTTGAAGTTCTCGTCGACTGGCCCGTGCTCCGTTGCCGGGTGCTGGGCTCGCTTTGCCGGACGGCGAAAGGTTAGTCCGGAAGGATTAGACCGAAAGTTAGGGCAGGCACGCACAGGATCTTTTTCTGCCCACGATCAAAAAGTCCTTAGCGATTTCAAGGTCCGCGGCTCCAGCAAACAACCAACTAACGGGACAGCATAATCGACAACTGGTATGAACCTCGACTCCTACGATCGCAGTTGCATTCGAACAATCAATCACTGCGCGCGCGACTCTTGAAACATTTCGACTAATCGACCGTTAATTAGATCACCGTCACAATGGGCGACGCAGTCATTGAGGGTTCGAACTGGCGCCTCGTTGAGGTTGGCCGTGTCGTTGTTATCAACGGCGACCACCCCTTCGCCGGCCGCCTGGCCACGATCGTCGAGATCATCGACCACAAGCGAGTAGGTTTCTCCTGCTTCAGATCAGATTAGTCTGCCGAAACACGCGATATTGACCCCGTCACAGATTCTCGTCGACGGTCCTTCCGCGAACGCTAGCCTCGCTGTTCCCCGACAAGCCGTTCCCCTCAGCAAGGTCCTCCTCTCCTCTCTTATCGTCGAGGGCTTGAACCGCGGTTCCCGAACTGGTGTCGTCCGAAAGCTCTGGGAGAAGTCCGAGATCGACTCCAAGTGGGAGCAGACCAACTGGGCTAAGAAGCGGGATCAGATGGAGCGGAGGAAGGGTCTCACCGACTTCGAGCGCTTCCAGGTTCTCCGACTCAAGAAGCAGCGACGATTCGAGGAGCGCAAGGCTCTGGCCAAGGTCAAGGCCTCCGCATAAATGGGTCATTAAGCTGGAGTCACGGAGGTGCTTGAAAGTCGGGTTTAGATCAAGTGGCACGGAACTGGGCAGGAAACACATCACGGCGGTATAGAGGCTGCTGGATTCACTTTTGCTCCGTTCTGGAAGGCTGTATGTCACACTTCATCATCATGATGAACGGCGTCAATACGGAAATTCTGAGATCAACTGAATTCAAAGCATAAGGAGCATCAAAAAAAGAACATGGATTCATTGTGAACTGTAGCCGAAATAAAAATGAAATGAATACCCCAAAACTCCGCTGTCTGTGTATGCATGCATGTCTTTACACTCAATCACTTTGTATCCCCATAATCAACCTTAATTATTGCCCAAATTGTCCATAGATTTCCCTCCACCCGTCGTCACTTTCTTGGACATCCGGATTCTGGAGGGGGAGACGTAGTGACACAAAATCTGATTACCTAATGCGACTTAGTTCCCACCTCCCACCAAGCCCTAGAATTATCGCTGTGCGAGGACCCCATCACAAAACGACGACGTGAGAGATCAGGCCAGCAAACAGACGTAACTGGGATCAGCAAAACAAGTAAGTGCGAAGCCGTCGTTACGTTCATTGTGTTATTTTGCTATCGATTTTTTGCGGTCTCGGGAAGATTTTGCTGCCACAAATTGTTTACCTGAGATTTACTAACATCTGTGCCCGCACTCAAGTCGCCAAAATGTCGAACCCCCGCGTTGAAGAACTTCCCGATGAGGAGCCCAAGAAGACCACCGTCCAGGAGCACGAGGATGACTCCAGCGACGACTCCGAGGTCGAGGAGGTCGGCGAGGGCCAGCTCCCCGCTGGTTCTACTGTGATCCACAACCGCAACGAGAAGAAGGCTCGCAAGGCCCTCGAGAAGCTGCACCTCACCCGTATCCCTGGCATCACCCGTGTCACTCTCCGCCGACCCAAGAACGTGAGTGCCGATGGATTTTGCAAAGAGATTGGAGGGGTAAAATGAGGTATTGGTGCTAACCGAAGTGCTACAGATCCTCTTCGTCATCAACAACCCCGAGGTCTACAAGTCTCCCAACAGCAACACCTACATGTAAGTTGCATTGTTGTAAAATGATGGATCTGCCTCTGACCTCAAGCCAGTGTTTTCGGTGAGGCCAAGATTGAGGATGTGAACGCCGCTGCTCAACAAGCTGCTGCTGCTCAGCTCGCCTCCGCCAACGCTGAGGACCACTCTGGCCACAACCACGGTGAGCCCAGCAAGGCTGCCGAGACCGCCGAGGAGAAGAAGGACAAGGAGGAGGAGGAGGAGGAGGAGGAGGATGACGACGAGGAGGTCGACGCTTCCGGACTCGAGGATAAGGATATTGAGCTTGTCATGACCCAGGCCAACGTCAGCCGCAACAAGGCCGTCAAGGCGTTGAAGGAGAACGACAACGATATCGTCAATTCCATCATGGCTCTAAGTATCTAAGCATGAGCTTCTGCTGGACGATCATCCGAAAAAGCATGTACATGGGACGAACATTGGGCTCTTGTATTAGTTCTTGGCGAACTGTACCCTGCGGAATGGAGTTGATGCCAAATAACGGAAACAATTGAAGGGGAATAACACCCAAAAATCCGTCAAAGAATGCTGTTGATATTTTGATCATGCGTGATATTATATTCATGGACCAATTGTGACTATCTTGATCTTCGTTTTATGAGCGATGTATCTCATGACTACTTATTCCAGCAATTGCTAATTGCTGTCTACATTTAGTTACCATAATCCAAACTGTAGCATTTTTTGGCATCTTGAACTTCATCACTCAGTATTCTCTCGCCAATGATCAGCTTTTGAGCTTCAGTTTCCTCTCTTCCAGTTGTCCTCACTCATCCTGAGCCGACGTCAATGAGGGGTCCGAAAACGCCGCCCGCCGGATATTTGAGTAGAATCACGTGACTTCCTAGTGCCCGGTAGTTCCCTGAACTTCGGCAAAGTCATCAACAGTCAATCAAGATTATCCTCTCCGCTCTCTCGACATCGTAACCTTCCTCAAAATGGCGACTGTAAGTTCAATTCATCAATTGGCGCGTGTGACTGATCGCAGGTGTTGTCGAAATTTCTCCCCGGTCCCGATCGTGCGCCTCTACGTCCTAGGATGCCTTGAGCTAATTTTCCCCTTCTCCGACAGCGAAGCGCAGCTCTCAAGCTTGACTGGACCAAGGTCACCAGCTCCCTCGGTCTCCGTGGCCAGACCGTTGCCTCCCTGCAGGCCTTCAAGAAGCGTAACGAGGACGTCCGCCGCAAGGTTCAGCAGCTCCAGGAGCAGCCCACCACCGTCGATTTCTCCCAGTACCGATCCGTCCTCAAGAACCAGGCTATCATCGATGAGATCGAGAAGCGATTCAGCGCCTTCAAGCCTGTCACCTACGATGTTAGCCGACAACTGAAGGCCATCGACGCTTTTGAGGCCGAGGCTGTCAAGAACGCCGAGGCTACCAAGGAGGCCGTTGACCTTGAGCTCAAGGATCTTGCCGCTACTCTCAAGAACATTGAGGAGGCCCGACCATTCGAGGAACTCACTGTCGTACGTACCACCGAAACTGAGACCATTGGGTCGATTCTCACAAGTTATAGGACGAGGTTGCCGCTGCCGAGAAGTCTATCGACGAGAAGACTGCTCAGCTCGTTTCCAAGGGCCGATGGATGGTGCCAGGATACAAGGTATGTTGTCCGGATGACGGAGGAGATGACAGCACTAACACCCACTGCAGGAGAAGTTTGGCGACTTGGCTGTGGTTTAAACGAATCGCGATATACCTTTTCCGGCTTCGCGTTGTGTACTCTAGCATTGTAGATACGAGATCCCGAGGGAGAACCCGGCTTGTCTCATACCCAATCCGCTACAATTTTTCCTCTGTGCTTCATAATGAATTCTTATTGGGATATTGAGAATGCGGTTCGATGTGAAGCATAGTGTTCAGGTTCTCAGTTCCCAGACTAACCTTAGACTTCTCAAATTTATGTCTCTTAATTGCCCAATTCAAACCGAGCATCCTTGGTCTTTGTTCTCGCCACCTTCAGCTGCTGTTTGAGGACTAATTTTGGAATGAATCTTCACTCCTTCGTCGATGTGTGGCCCAACACCTATCGGGTATGAAGACAGTCTTTTCAGGAGGTTGAACAATACGAGGGAGGCATAGGCCGAATTCCGATATACCCAATGCACAGGGCTATTTCTTGATGTACTTAAAGTGAACCGTAATCCAACTGTAAAAGCACACCCTATCCGATCAAGTTCATTCTGTCCGGCAACGTTTCACTCATCTGCATCATTACACATCTCTTTCCATACCCTATATCCGAAGACAACCTGAAACTCAAGTCCAAGTCCTGTGTCGGACTACATGAAAGGCAATAAACTATCTGGAATATTTGTTGATATTCGAATTCCAGGAGTCGAATTGTGAAGATTGAGCTTTATATGGGTTTGTTATAGGTTAGCTTTTTAGCCGTTGAACTCTATCTTCCTTGTTTAAACCGAAGTTCGGCTATTCCAATCTGAGGGCCCTCCACTCAAAGAATGTTATTGATCAAAACTGCAAGGCTCTAAATCCTCAGACCTAGCTCTGGTCTCATGCAGTATCTTTGCTGGGAGTCCTACAGCAATATCAGGGTCACGTGTCGGCCTTTAGCCTGAATACCCCCGACTTACACGATACGCTATATATCCCTCGTAACGTATGGTCACTATTTGCGAAAACTTCTCGAATCACCGACTTTATCAAAATACAAGATCAACAGCTATCATGGTGTTTCCGGATCCGGAACTCGAAAGCTATGTCTTTAAGACGGCACCGCAATTAGACGCTGCCTGGCTGGCACATGAAGAAGAGGTCAAGAAGAAAGGCCCTCCTAGAGTATTCAATAGTGTAGAAGAACGGCAACCGATTTATGCTCAGGAATGCCGCGACTTATATGCTCAAGTTACGGCGCCTGGAACCCGAGATCATGAGCTCTCCCAAGGAGTTACTAAGAAAGAGTTCACTATTCCCTCTTCTGTGGATGGGCACCCAATCCCTGTCCTTCAACTAGACCTTACAGGTACCGAAGCTGAGGAGCCGGAGATTATCGTTATATTTTACCACGGCGGTGGTCTGAGGGTTGGCGAGGCAGATAGCGAAGAACTATCATGCAGACATATTGTCAAGTCAGGCATTGCCAGGATTCGACTTTACTCGGTGGGATATCGCCTATTGCCTCAGAATCCAGCTACCGTGTGTCGTTCTGACAGCTTGGATGGATTTCGAAAATTCCACAATCCAAAGATGAAAACTATTGTTGTCGGAAGCTCGAGTGGTGGACAGATGGCATCTGCAGTGGCGCAAGCAGCTCCTCCAGGTTCCATTCATGGACTTCTACTGAGGTGTCCAGTCACAGCAGACAGAGCCAGTGGCGAGGAATTTGTACCTGAAAAGTTACGTCCATATCACACAAGCGTGTTTCAAACGTTCATCACATCATTGGGCGGATATCTACACCGAAACACACCTAGGGATGGTCTTGAGAAACTCCCTCTTGAGGTTTCAGAAGATGAGCTCCAGGGACACCCTCGTACTTGGATTCAGCTCACTTCAAACGACACCCTATACTCGGATGGACTATGCTATGCCATGATTCTAAGGGAAGCAGGTATCGATGTTAAAGTCCAAGTGGAGGTGGGCTGGCCGCATACCTTTTGGCTCAAGGCTCCTCACCTCGATCATGCCTTGGCCTGCGAGAAACATATGTTGGAGGGATTACGATGGCTTCTAAAGTAGTAGAAGATAAACCCGAGCGAGGCGTGGCTTTTCCATTACTTCCTAGCATAGGAGATTTTGATCTGTTGTATGATTGTTCTCTCCACTGCCTCTTCCACCGTGACAACGTGCTTCAGTAAGCCCTTCAGACCCTCCAGTAGAACAATAAAAAAGCAGAAAGAAACAACGACCTACTCTGTTAAACATAATTCAAGGCTGTAAAATATTGGAATGTATTTCAGATACCAAGCCGTAGGTAAGTTGAGGCTTTAATCTTCCTCGCGACAGTCATAGTTTTCGAAGAAGGATTTGCTGTTCTCAAAGATTCGCGCCGAGTATCATGCAAGCCATGAAAAGCGTTGTCAAGAACAGATTTTGGGGCCTGCCATGATAGTCCCTCATTGAATACATTGTCGGGGGGTCGTTCGATAGAATGACACCACTTGTTCTTATCGCACAGAACTTTCTGTCGAATTGGGGATGAAGGGAGGATAGACATTATTCGGATCTGCTGACCCTCATAGGTCAGAGAATTCCAGTCCTCGGCGGACATAGAGTAACAGAGATTCTTCAAGTCGGCACAGATCTTCCTGAGAACAAGAATTTGTTCAATAGAATGGTTGGCAATACTGACTACCAAATACCCCTGTATCCTGTTAACTTACCGTTGGATTATGGTCAAGGAGAAACATACCATCCTACCATCTGGTGCAGGAACAAGGATATAAGTTGTCTTCTCGTTCACATCACTCTTGTTATGGGCAAAGATTTGAAAGATACCGTAGACAGTCTTGTTCTGAGGATCAACAGAGTAACTCAAAGCTTTCTCTGAAATGGAGCCAGGTTCTAAGTCATCGTCAGCGGCAGCAGTGAGCTGCCTGTCCAGACTTGAGTTGCTATACTTGAACTGCATTAGGAACTGTGGGGGGTAAATGGTTGTGAAGTAGAAGTAGTGTCACGCCATAGAGCAACGAACAGAAGATAGAAGGAGTTGAATCAACGGAAGGGGAGAAGTGAATAAACAGAAAAACAGTAGATATTCCAGTTCTAGTATGTACATTTTGACTTTTTCATAATTCTTTCAAGGCCTATTCACTTACCAAACCATACAATCTTGTGAGCGTGGGTCTCGATACCAAAGTTGTCTACATCTATCAGAAAAGGAGACAGGGTACATAGAGAAATGGATCGCAGGTTCCCTTCGTACGATACAAGGTACTGATTTGTTGAGCTTTGTTCAGCCAACGACGGTTGCGTGACAGCAGATTACGTTTAAGGCGATTGGCTTGTAACGTCCCAACTCAATCAACTTCCGATTTACTTAGAGAACAAGGTTCAGATCACGACTCTGGCATGTCGTAGTGGTAGAGGTACGGTGAAGAACAACCCACTAGTAACTGAAATGTCACAAGGAGCTGTCTGGAGTGGGAGTTGGATACGATCCCTCCACACCGAACACGCGGCAGGTATTCTTAAAAGTATCAGCATGAAACTAGACAAAATAACGATGCGTTTCTTCACAGCAAAAGTATTCAGGTCTATCAGACAAGACCAAGAGCAAACCTGCAAGTGCCATTGTACCCGCTCAAAGTCAATGGAAAGTATCTCCATGAGACATCACTTGGCCCCTAAACTCCAGCATTTGCTCTCCCAACTTGATCATCCATATCTATTCAAATTCTGTTTCTTTTTTTTCTTCTTTTTTTTGTATTTAATCCTAGTGTATCATTTTCCCTCAAGGTTTCGCATATTGGGCAGTCCATTCCTTGGCGGTTGCAATAGCGGCCTGCTCATCCTCCTTCCAGCTCTTGGCGACATCTGCAGCGAGAGGGTCATCCGGGTTAGGAGCACCGAGGAGAGCCTGGATCGACAAGAGGATAGTTCGGATCTGAAGAGCGGGAGACCAGTTATCTGTAGTGTTTGTGAGCTTGGCCGTTCCAGACATGTATGCATCCTGATATGCAACCCACTCTTGAGGACATCGAGGCAAATACGACCAAGCTTATCGACGTTTGGATGGAAAATCTTGGTCAGGAATCGAATCTTGGGAGGAGTCATTGGATAATCGTCGGGGAGGAAGAGCTCGAGGCTGAAAACACCACCTGAAATTTCGATTAGTCGGCAAATCAATCTGTAGTGACACAGAACATACCCTCATACGGAGACTGGGCGGGACCGTGAATTTGGACATCGAAATATCGGAGGTTATCCTCGTGAGGAACGGCACTGATTCCTGGAACACTGTATCGCGACGAGTGTTAGGTTACGAAGTCAAGGCGCAAGACATGTAGCCTCGGGGATGACCTACGGCTCGGCCATGAGCCGTTCTGTCTCTTTAATAATGCGCTTGGGGAGAGCCATGGTGGAGTTCGGGGGTATGTGAAGGAATTTCGAGACCGGGGGATGCGGTTCTTATCTCGGTGAGTACTTGTTCGTAAGATACCGTGTCGTCGTAGCGTTAGCTTTCGAAAGAGTTACGTTTAGAAGGGTCGTGGTTGGGTGAGGTCTGAAGTTGAATGCTTGAAATACCTAAGGCGGGCACTTCAGGTCGACGGCGGGGCAGTCGCAGTGGCAGGTAGAGCCCAGTATTATCGGGGAGCAAGCAATCTAAAACCCGATGGAAGTGATTAAATGAAAGAAAGATTCTGGCAGCGCGTCACAAATGAATAGAATTGTTTAACACCTGATCATTTAAATCAAGTGACGACTATCAACAAATTGTTAGGCAAAGATGGTAGATAGATAAGCCATATGCATCCATTATAAGGTGGAATTGTACTTAAAAGTACATGTCCTTTTAGGCGCTGTCATACAACCATTCCTACGGCATGTGCCCAATGAAGGTCGCGGAAGGTTCCGTTAAGTGCTGAACCTGGACAAGCTCAACTCTACTCACAGGCAATGGCGGGGGATGTACCACAACACTTCAAACAGCAGGTGTGGTACTTGTGGAACGACATCGCGCGCTCTGACCACCTCCTGTCAATCATTCATCCAGTGAGGAACGCGAGTTCAGATGAGCAGCTTCATTAATAACATCTTCATACAACGTTCGTATTGAAGAATACCTTGCCCTGAGCAACTCTTCTCCTCTGCTGGAATTAAACGCCTCTATCCCTTTTCGGCCTCTTGTGGATGATGACATGATTCAAAGCCATTCAGTGGCAGTTCGCCGTGTCTCCTCTCCTTACCTCATATGAGTTGCGATATGAGGAACGTCGTGATACCCTCTCGAGATACCCATCACCATGCCCTCCTTCGACCAACTCGCTGACGCTCCCAAGAAGGGCAAGGTCATCAAATCTGCCTACGAGAGCGAAAGTTTTGAGTCAGATGGCACCATTCATGTTGATGGCCTAGTCGGCTCAGCCACTATCTCTCCTGCTGGGCGAGACGTCGCATTGGCTTCGTAGGTTAAAAGTGTACTGTTGAATTGATGGATTCTAACAACAAAATAGGCCTGATGGATTGGCAATCATAGATCTTGACTCGCCATATAGCCCTCCCCGGCGACTGAGAACTCATGGCCTTCCGTGGCTGGTTGTGGATGTCCAATGGTCACCCTTTGCTGCTCGCGACTACTGGATCGTCTCAGCCGCCAATCATCGTGCCCTGGTGTGGAATCTAAATCGCAGGGAAGACTCGAGTTCAGGTGCCATAGAACATTCTCTTCAAGGCCACAGTCGTGCTATTACAGACGTCAACTGGTCTGCTCACCATCCAGACCTCTTGTCGACCTGCTCAGTAGATGGCTATATTCACGCATGGGATCTTCGAAGACCACGCCAGCCTGTTTTGACCTTCTGTGATTGGACTGCTGGTGCATCTCAGGTCAAATACAACCGCCAAGCATCTCACATCCTCGCTTCTGCTCACGATCGATGGTTGCATATTTGGGATGAACGCCGTTCTTCTGAGCCTCTAAAGTCTATCAAAGCTCACAAATCCAAGATATATGGCCTGGACTGGAATCGATCTGACCCGAAGGCGATTGTCTCCTGTTCCATCGACAAGAGGATCAACTTCTGGGACTATACTGCGGAAGAGCCCTTGCAACATACCATTGAAACTGGCTTTCCAGTGTGGAGAGCTCGTCACACACCTTTCGGACACGGCCTCCTCGCAATACCCCAGAACGAACCGGGTGACCTTTATCTCTACGACACCAACTTTGAACCAGAATCGAAAGTGACAAGTCAACCAATCGATGTCTGGCCGGGGCACGGAGATCACAAAGCAAAGGAATTTCTGTGGAGATGCCGTGGCGGCATAACTGACGACGGTAAAGACAACCGTGAATTCCAGCTCGTCTCTTGGGGCACAGACAACGAACTAAAGCTTCAATGCATCGACCCCAAGATCTTCGCCGCTATCGGCCATAAACGCGGCATGCCAGCCGATCCAGCAATCAGTATCACTCGAAAAGGCGCAACATACAAGACTTTCCGTACAGTAGACGAAAGTACGGATCGCGATCGTAAATCTGCTACAATGAGTGATCACCGGCCTGGCACCAGCTATCATAAGCAAAGTGCTCTTACCCTAGGAATGCGATCAGGCACAACTCAAAGCCACCGTGCATCGATGGCATGGCGAGGTCCTTCAATGAAGGCCAAGGTATCTGGAAGATCCGTCGATCGTAACCAGTCGCAAATAGGATGGATGAAAGGAATTGCCATGACTAAGAGAAAGGCATCAACGAGCGCCAAACGACACTTATCAAAAGACTCGGGTATCTTTGGCCATGGATATCCTGACGATGAGTGGGCAGAACCTGAATCTATTCAGGAGGAACTTCTACGCATCAGCCATCAACTTCCCAAAGTGAGGTGGGACAACATTGATATGGACAGTTTGACTCTCAACGCCTCACTGAACGGCCCCTGGGGCGCCGATGGAGAAACTATATTCATTAAGGTTCGGATTGATATTCCAGTCGGCTATCCCAAGACCAGGGCACCAAAGTTCTATGTTGAAAAATCGTCCTTCATGCCTGCAGAGACTCACAAAAAGATTGATCGCGAGATTCAGCAACTGGCCAATCAGTTCCTGCAAAGAAAAAAGAATTGCCTTGAGGTTGCCTTTACGTATCTCCTTGGGGAAGTTGATCTTGAAAGCAGCACAACTTTCTTCAAGAATGTTCGAGATTTAGATGATGAACTTGATGGCTTAGCGGACGAGAGCTCTAGTGAATCCGACGAGGATATCCCCGCCGGCGGTTCAGCATCCATGTCTCAAGAACTGCCCCCTCATAACGAGCTGGATACCGCGCTTGCGCCTCCGAATAGGACAATCGTGCCACCGCCACCCAGGACCTGCGGTGCCAGGTTCTCACACAACGGACGATTGATCTGTTTCTTCCCCTCCAAAGAGGAAAAGGCGCGCGCATTGTTCACAACCACTATGGACGCTTATAGGGAACGCCCTAAGGGGGAACCATTCTTTGCGGGCTTTGGCAGAATCGCACATGATCTTGGGCCTCGACAACGTTTCATGGCGGAAGACAGTTCCGCATCCAGCGGGGATTCTGATACGTCTGCCTCTGGATCATCTTCATCCTCATCATCTTCGAGCGATTCAGAGTCTACATCAATGCATAAGATTAATCTCTGGTATCACCCTAGCCGCCAGTTTAGGAAAACATGGAGCGAAGACAGATCAATACGCTCGAGTGGCGGTGGTACAGGAGTAGGCACTGGTACTGGCACTGGCACAAGTCGTCGCAGGCCTGGTCGGCCCAAGAACCTAATCTCGATACATGACTTCCGTGGTCTTCTCCCCTCGAAAGAGGAATTTGCGCGTGAGTACGCCATCTTTGGCGATGGAGCCGAGGTCTGTGAGCACAATGCAAAGGTTGCTGAGAAGTACAACGCTCGAGATCTGGTTGATGTCTGGCGATATCTTGCGCTTCTATTAAAGAAGGGTGTTCCGCTCGAGATACTCGCCCACAATCAGAGGCGCGATTCTATTCTGGTAATCGCCCACGATGTGGTTTCCAGGTGCAATGCCGATACCTCTCCTCTTGACTCTTTTTTGGAAAGACATGAAGGTGCGTTGTCGGGCAGAGTCAAATGGGGTAAGCATCCCTTGGCCAGGGACTTCATCATGGACCTTTTTGCATACTATGAGAAGATTGCGGACATCCAAATGTTGGCAATGCTTTCTTGTATATTCAGCGAATCTTCTGCTGCAGACAGTGTGGCTTACTTTGAATCTCATCTACCGCAACCCGAGACTCCCCTCCCTTTCAAGGCACCAGCTTTCTCGCTAGACTACTTCCCCACTGATGCCTCACTATGGAATATTGGTGGACGCAGTTATACGAACTCAGCTATTACAACACCGATGACAGTGCACACTCCTGTCCACTATTCTGGATCTCAGGCATCAGACGACGGCATATGGGGTGGCGATGCAGCATCGAACTCGTACTCTTGTGGAGAAACGCCGCCAAATAAATTCAAGGGGTATTTAGGGGAGGTTGAGGCACCGCCCAGCGTGTCTACGTCTCCAAATACACGATTTCTAAATAGAGCAAACTCGGGACTGGCATCAGCTTTTGCTGCCAACCTGCCGCGTTCGTTTGCAGGAGTCAGCTCGTCGTCACCTCCAAATCACGTAAGAAAGAGACCCAGCCCTGCTGAAACGATTCTCAGCAGTCTGGCTCCAGGCAATGTTACATGGAGTGCGTCGACCGCGATGGACTCGAATGGTGGGAGAACCTCTTTGGATGATGATGATTATCGGAGGGATGATTATCTGTCACTTGTGCCCACAAAGATTGCCGTCACAATGGAGGATCAAACCGCATTCGACGATGATGGTTGGCTGAACATATCCATGCTCGAGTCCAGTCAGGCGGATGTCCATGCTCGTTATCGATATGCGTATGCTGAAATGCTGCAAATGTGGAATCAACCACTCTCCAGACTCGAGATTATGAAGTTCAATTCACTCAAGGAGGACATGACTGGAGGGCATGTTGACGACAACTTCCATGAGTCAGGCGCTGGTCACGATGGCAAAGCACATAACTCATCGCCCATCGCCATGGGCAAGAAGGATCAGCTTCAAGCGTTGCTTGCTTCAGGTCGCGGCCTTGATGTCACAGGGATGTGCCGCATACACGAAATCCAGCTGGAACCACTTCGTTATACTTCCAGTGACTCCAAGGTTGGTGGTGCTGTTGGTACATGTGATCGTTGTCATCAAACTCAGAGTCAGCTCACATGTGTGTACTGCCTTGAGCCTGTGGATGCTCTCTTCCCGCCATGCTTGGCTTGTGGTTGCGCAAGCCACGAGGCGTGTCTAGCAGAGTGGCATGCTGCTGGCGAAACGCAATGCCCCGCAGGCGACGAGTGCAACTGTGTGGAGGAGGCAGCAGATGGCCAGGTTGAATCATGGGCAGCCCTGCAGGGAGCCATGCTCAAGGGGCAAAGGCATATGATGATGCTGCCTGGTCCAGCCTTGGATGATAGCGACGACGACGCAAAGGTGCCTCGTAACTGGGAGAGAGTTGAGCCCTCTTTTCCCTCGCGAATGCAGGGCCTTTCAGCTGCCAGTATAAGTCTGGGCAACAGGCTACGGAAATCGGCAGGAGAATGGTCACGAGCTTCAAGTTTGAAACGAAACGATCGGAGGAACGTAATATAATATCTCTGTAGGATTATTCACTATGGGATTTGACGAGCCCATTGCTATGTACACTAATGGAGGCTAGACTGTTTGAGCGTTGGAATTTCTTGTGTGGCAGTCGAATATGTATCTATTTACACAATACTTACTTACCGCATTCCAAATAAGATAAATATCAGTCACGTCAAAAGGATCCTAGTAGTTATAATTGAGGAATTGCAATGCCTTGAGTATACTGCCGGTGCTCGGTTGCAGTAACTCAGGGGTAATAAAGCCCAGGTATGCAACAATATCTAGGCAACTGCTTTATTGGGCGAGTATGGCATCTAGCGTATCAACAATTGTCGCATCAATACTATTATTCAGTTATGAAACACTCCTTTTGCACTGGCGACATGAACTCAACCTTTGGACCTTTGTCTAACGAGATTTATAGGTAGACAATCATCTGCCTGACAAGAGCATCCACTTGTTAACTCTTTGCCTAGCGACAGTGTAGCAAGTCAAGTCTCACTGATCCTAATGCAATAATAATATCCAAATTCTTTTACAATTCCGAGGTAGACTAGCAGATCAAGTACAATACCAAGAGAGGGTAACGGCCAGCATTACATCTAAAGTATCAAACGAAGCAACTCCGACGATCCAGACGGACAATTGTACAAGGAAATAGCCCATTTACAAGATCCTCGCCGGCGAATGCAAGCTCTGCGACGTCAGACCAAATTAGCTGAGTGTACTCCACGCGTCGGGTATCTTGGTGGTAGCGGAACATAGTACTCACCTCGTTTGTTTGTTGAGGAATTGAGGAAGGGTAAACGACTTTGGTAGCTGCAGCTAATAGGCCGCAGGCACATCATAGTAAACTCTTCAAGATGAGGGAACATTCTGAGGCTCAACGGTCGCCAAGCATATTCTGTCAACTGGATGTGTGGAATTGCTTCATCATAATCAAAAGTTAACGCAACTAGACGGAGACCAAGACTGATGAGGCTATATCCATGAGGAAATCCAAACTGCGAGGGCGCAGACTTTGGGAAGACCATGTTGTGTGTCAAGAAGATGTCCTTTCTAACGGACATTCGCCTCGACCGATGGTCCCTGTCTTGGAAACGGGTGTGGTGAAGTCGCCTGAACACTTGATATGGTCCAAGTCTAGGCATATGAGGTTTGATGTAGATCATTGCCTCAGTTCTGCGATAGTCATCTTCGCATCTAGGTGCTCGTTCAGGAAAGAAACTGACAGTTTTAGGGCCAATGAGCTTGTCGATATCACTACCCATGGTAGCGAATATCACTCCCTCTTTGTTGGGCTGTACCGAAGACATGATAGAGGTAGCAAGATTGTGGGTATATTCAAAGCTGTTGAATTTGCGACGTTGAGATCTCTTCTTGGTAAATGTAAATGGCGGATGTTGTCATAGATACGCAAAAGAGTTGCAGAATATCTTTCCTTTATAGTCAAATTCATGTCTGAAACATCAGTATGAAGATGCAGTGTTGATCATTTCTGGGTGTTGTCCATATGTTCAGATCTCTGTTGATTTGAAATCTGTTGTTCAGAGGTTAATGTTACATCCTCCTATGTTCGCCTGAACACTACTAGAATATCGTCGATCTCAGTGTGAGGGGAGATCTGTTCAGTTCCATGTCAGATAAACAAGCTGAAGGACTTTGAACTGTAACACGGGTTGCACAGTAGAAGAACAACATTAGCTATTCAGAAGTTCGATTATAATATGCAGGTTTACCTAAGGATTGAGGAAATAGTCTTTCAGTTTTGTCGTTTCTTTTATCGTTCCGCTTGTTTCGAAAATGAAATTTATAAATGCAATATATAACAGAAACAACATACCTCAGTATGTTTTGAATGAATATTTAAATAATTAGATACCGTTGCTTGTTTCATCATTGAGTTGCGCAAAATGATAGCGCTAGACCGCAGCTTGTTCCGATCGTTGTGTCCGTCATTTCTGGTTGGACATAATAGTCCAACAAGTTTTCTTTAAATCCTGAGCCCTTCTACATGTCTGTTCTTCATTTACCCTCAGGGAGTGTCAAATTGTTCTTCCCTGTGTTGGTGCCGTTGTTGAACTTCACGCAGATATTAGTTGTCCAGGAGGTACTGTTCTTGTCGTTCAGTATGGCAAAGCCTTGCGCCTGTCAAAGGTATCCCCCATCCACTTCTATTACCTTCAACTGCTACGTCGTCTCACTTCCACTCCAGATTCGCTCCATCCATCTCGTTGCAAATCAAATGTCAGAATTCTCTCGACAACCACCCATCTCATCCTGTTTTCGTATACGGCTTTATCTTCACCAGCTTGCCATGAAATGATTCGGATCCATTTCTGTCCGTCATCGGGAGCCTTGTATCTACCGTCGAGGAAGACAACCTTGGACAACATTATGCTGCGCTGTTTGTTGAGTTCATGGCAATCTTCTTTGCCGCAACGTCCGTCATGCAAGACAGCCTGTGATTCTGGCTCCCTCAGGTCCAGGGGTGCCATCTCAATGATGTTCTCGTCCACCCAGTATCTGAACTGCTTCGCCAACTGTTGAAGTCGCATTTCATATGGCAACTTTGGGTTCACCTGGACCATCCACGCTGGGTCGATTTCCCCCACCTTGACAATCCACATATCATCCACGTTAGGGAACCAAAACCTGTCGAATTCGATTTTCCCAAAATCTGGCTGCCGGTAACACGCTGATAGATAGACAGAATAGTGATAGGGTCCCTCCACCCGTCCATCATCAGGGAAGCAGTCCCAGAAGACAAGACGCCGTATCCGCGGGGCGAGACCATCTAGGTACTGGTCGGTCACCTGATCTGAGATCTTGTGGTCACAGAGGAGGATGTCCCTGGAGAAGTCGAAGTATGATCCATTACCAATTGGTTCGTACCCCAGCCGAGTTTCATCTCGCGCTTCCGCATTGAGTTGTGTAACGGTAGGCAAGGGATAAGACCGGCTCTTTTGAACCAGATCACCGTATAAAACGATACGAGGCTCACTCGCTCGTGACCATATCTTTAGACGAAGTTCCGTTGGTAAAGAATTAAAGTCGGTCGTAGCTGAGGTTGAGAGGGACAAAGACGCCATGGTCTCGAGGCCATGGGACGAAGCAGACATCTCCATCATAGTAACCAGAGGGTGGAGTATATGAACTCCAGAGAGTAAAGACCAGCAGAAGACATCAAAGGTTGGCTGCCAACCAAGAGGTATGAGCGGCGGTTTTAATCTCACGTCGGGTATATAGTGTCAAACCCCAGAGCAGGGGTTCTCACGAGGACAGACGGAAACGGTGTCATACCTACAAGTAGGGGGGGACCATGACCGTTTGCGGCACGTCCGGGGCGGGGAAAATAATTGATCCTCGTGAAGCCATCGTCGGACGCGGTACATGCATGCATGCACGCATGCATGTAAGGTATGTAGGTGGTAGATAGTAAGTAGATAGACTACGTGCTGTACTGTGTCACAGGTTACTAAAACCGGGATGGTTCACCGACACCGCCCTCAGCGGTTCGATGGCGGCATGCTGCATGGCGGATTCTGGTGTCTCGGTCAATCTACCAATGAGACAGCTTTCCAAGGAACAAAGTGGTGATGAGACCGGGGGAGCCGCAGATGGTGCAAGATGTTGAGTGGACGATCACACTTTATCGAACATTTCGCGCTTCTTGTTTACCTCTCGACTCTCACTTGTCTTGTAAAAAGCAAATCTGCCAAACGCCTCACAACGCCCGTCATTTCCCCTCGTCGTCCTTTTTAGCTCATCATCTTACTTGAAATATGATTTATAGTCTTCTCTTGCTTTTTGATCAAATGTTTGACTAGGATATCTCGTCGTGTTCGTACTGAGTCGAAACAGCAACAAGACAACGCTCAGCATCCGGAGACACTCGATCAGTTCGTGTGTCTATAGCATTAGTGAAATATGTCTTGGATAATGGCCTGATGTGAGTTGGACGGTGGCAGACTATCCCAGTCGTGGCTGCATACGACGCAAAAGCCTGCCAGTGGGCAAGACCGATGCGGCGCGATGCTAGGGCCGGAGAGATCAATCAGAATCAGGACCTCCTCAGCACGGAGTACAATCTACCCAGCTACATACAGTCATCTGGAGGTGACCGCTCATGGTGCCGGGAATGTCGATTGTCTATCACGGGGCTAGTATCCGTAGGTGACAGTTGTCCGAGAGCGTGGGTCAGCGCGCGAACAGACACTTTCAGCTCAGCTCAACACACCAAAGGAGTGTAGTTGATTGAGTTGTCCATTCTTGGCTTGTTTTCGATCTTTTTCTCCTGGTTGGAAATCTGAAGATGTGTCCTCTCTATCGCGGTGGAGGTACCGAGGCATCTTCCGATCCTACACTCCATACTGTATAAGAACTGGGAGTTTGGTATGGACCCGGCGGTATGGTTGGCTTAACAAAATGTGCTTGAAGTGAGGCGGAAGGGCTTGGACGGGAACCTGCAAGGGATGTCGGGTAACCCCGTGTGGAGTCCGTTAACTTGAGGCGGGATGGTACGCGATTGGTGCCGGTGAACTGGTTCTGGGACTGTTCAAGAATGAACGCCTTTACCAAGTCTGGTTATGATTGGCAGTGAGATCTGACTTGGGGCAACGAGCAGTGGGCATCCTTGGTGACTGCAGATAGCAATGGTGATGAGTGAAGGCTGAGCGAATGAATGTCAGACAATAATATCGGGGTCCTATTTCGTTTTGCCATCGATATGATCCAATTTCTCCGATAACAGCACATCAGCAGGTACGGATGCGTGGCTGGTTTTGGTCCCAAGACCACGTTTTTCTCCAAATCGATCTCTCAGGATCGGGAGAGCTAACCTGATCCATTGGCTGGCAGACTCGAAGTGGTCGCTATCTAGGAGTGGAGATAATTATGTGGTTTTATAAGTGTGACAGGGAGAGAAGGTCTGCATTCTGCACGGTTCATTCTGTATGCTGCGTATCCACGAACCATGTCTAGCATATCAACCCGGTTTCTCGGTTAGAAGTAACTGAATATGCCAAGGCAGACTGATCAAGCAGGATGGGATGGTGGGTGGTGGATCGAAAGAAGAGCGGTGATGTGCTCAATATTGGAAAGGCTGATGACTGTGCTTGAAACATCGGTGTACATGCGTATCTGCGTATACTCAATGTTGTCACTTTCGGTATCCAATGCCATCAAGAAGATTGCACTGTAGCCGCCAGACCTGAGTCTTCTCTCCGATGGCGTTCTCTCCTCCTGCAATGTGCTGTTTGTGAAATCATGCGAGGATCAGGAGTCAGGCGGTTGAGTTGACTCTGCTTGTGTAGGGTAGTGAAATGACCTGAGGGTTGATCAAAGCTTCTTTTTGACTCTCGGTCCGTGTAACGGTACATTTTCTATCGTGTTTTATGGTCATAATTCAACTTTGCAAGAGGAGATGAGAGAGAAAACTTCTGCTACTGGTGACTGCCTGCACGATCAGTTGTGCAGTATAAGGGGGAAGCTGCAAGTGTATCACTGACCCCACCATAAAACAGCTCCTTCCAGTTATCCTCCTGCCTGAAGTGAGAAGTACCTTAACAGCGGAGGTACATAAATTTAAGAGACAATAAGGTACCTCCTACGTATACGAATATCATACTGCTGCAGAATCAACATCCTCCAGCGGGAGCTGGAGATGACGATAAGCCCGTCACATCTCAACTATCCAAGCGTGTTTTACTAGCCACCTACATACATTACAGTACACACAGCTACAGGCTCGCGCACACACGCACGCACACGCACTTGTCATAGTTTAGTAGATCCATCCATTTCCATGACGGGAGACGCTACGGCACGATCTCCAAGTCCACTAACCCTGGGCGACCCACTCATTACAGGTGTCAATTGGCATCAACACCAGCCTCCAACTTCAGCTCCGGCTCCAACTTCACCAACAAAAAGCCCAGGTTCAAGTCAAACCCCCGATCCCGATCCCGGACCCGGGCCCAGATCCCGACGCCTCCAATGCCTTCTCGATAGCATGCTACCCCCTACCGACGACGAGACGCCGCTCCCCTCGTTAGACCACTCGGCCCTTCATGGCTTCGGTCGTTCTCATCTTTCCCCTGACGATGCCTTTGTGTCGCCTCCTCGAGGGCCGCGAGGCCGGAGTCGAAGACGTAAACGCCCATGGAAGAAGCTGATGTGGGTTAAGCAATCGTGTATGTCTCAGGAAATTCCTGTATGGGACAATGGCAGCTAACAATTGAGCTTGCAGACCCCGATAACTACACCGATCAAGCGACCTTCCTCGAGAATCTCCAGCGCAACCCTCGTCTCAAGCCATATGACTTCTGGCCACTCGTCGCTGACTCTACGGTCATACTACAGCACGTCTGTTCAGTCATAATCTTTGTTGTTTGTTTTGTCGGCATATTTCAGGAGCGCGTGTCTCCTGTTGCTGTCACAAGCTGGAGCAGCTTCGCTACGTTTGTAGGATGGATCCTCTGGGAACGTTGGCTATCAGAAATTGAAGACACGGATGATCCGAGTCTTGGCGTGGCAGCGAATGTGATGGGAAGGGCCGGTCGGACTGGAAGTCTAAGGCGACCAACCCGCACGGGCAGTATCCGGCGTCCACCTCCGCTCCGGGTCGAGTCGGCGCCGTCTACCGCCGCACCATCTGCTGTCGCTTCGGCTGCGAGTTCGACAACCAACCTGCATGCGCCTAGCACGATGCATCGAGCCCAGTCTGCTTCAACGACCTCCCTGGCCAGTGGTATCGCACACACTCCACGAGCGAGTCAAGAACATCTCCCCGAACTACCACCGCCCCTCCTGGCAGAAGAAAATCGATACCGACAGAGGATGGAGACAGTCAAGTCCGCGATTCTTATCTATTGCACGCTCCTTGGGCTGAGTCCCATTCTCAAGTCGCTAACGCGATCAACATCAAGCGACAGCATCTGGGCTATGTCCTTCTGGCTTCTCGCGATCAATATCTTCTTTTTTGACTACTCTGGAGGTGTAGGTGCCAAGTTTCCAGCATCGCTGTCCACAAATGCTGCTTTGATGGCATCAACTGTACTCGCCAGCCGACTACCATCGACCAAGCAGGTGTTCAGTCTGACACTCTTCAGCATCGAGGTGTTTGGGTTGTTTCCAGTATTCCGACGCTATGTACGACATCGAAGCTGGCGCTTCCATATCCTCTCTGCCATTCTGCTGGTATTAGGTGCAAGCTTCGGAGTCGGCCTAATACTGGGATACGATAAGAACACAGTTGGATGGCCGTGGAAGAGTGGACTAGTGGGCATGATTGTTGGAGTGCTCATTGCCATACTGGCTACAGGAGGCTGCAGCTGGTGGCTGATAGGGCTTCAGAAGTACAAGAACGAGATACGGGGACCGTGGGATCCCGCGAGACCCATTATCATGAATCGGCCTCGATGGGACGATGATTCATGAGGTGATGTGTTTTTAGGCATATAATTATTAGAACCTACATTGCTTGTTAATGTATTTAGACCTGCATTTACTGTCCTAGTATTTCCACCCTAGTGACTACGTGATGGAATTTTCAGCGGAAAGTCGCTGTCATTTTTGAAGACAAGACCTCTGTTTGTATCATTTAAAAGGAACGGCACATGAGTCCCGCTGTATAAGCAATTGCCAAACACACAAGGAAACTTGGCAAGATTTCCATGTTGAGCCAAGCTTTTTGTTCAACTCCACAGGGCTACGCTAGGGCGCCGACATGGGATTTGTGTCACAGATCGAGAAGTAAGCGAGTGATTGATATCGATCGAGGATTCTGACGGAAGGGAGAATTGACTTTGGCTTAGGTTTGGTGGCTGAGGTAATTGGAATGGAATCGTAGATGGCAGTTGAGGGAGGCTCAACAACGTTTGGTATGCGGTACTGCGAATGGACGTTAAGTGCAGTGTGCTATATGTGTACTCAGTCATTATTATACACTACTACCCGCTTGAAGAGAAAGACTTAGCAAAGCAAATCAAGGGCTGAGGAACATGAGCATATTCAAGGAATTTGATAGTGTCTTGCTTTTTCATGCTTATGAGATTGGGTTATGGTTTGAGAACCTCATCATGAGTTTATAGCCTACGATTAGACCCAACTTTGCTACTTCGGTATGAGATTTATGGAAGTCTCTAGATGTCTTGATCATCCTCTCTACTCAGTATACCATGCTTTGTTTAGCGAATGGAGATCCATATGTGGTGCTGGCATGATGTGAGGTTATGTAAGTGCTATGCCGTACTCGCCTGATTCCAAGCCTCGACAACACGTTACTCTGGATACGAGATGCATCTGCACATGGCATGCAGCCGCTGATCGGTGATGCTGATCTGACCCTGCATGTGAGGATGAAGTCAAAAGAAGAAAAAGCAGCCGCCAGAGAGAGCTACAGCAGTATTCGTTTAAGCATCACTGCGTTTCGTGGAGTTGCACTGTCTAGACACCTCCCCGAATTAGAAGCCGACATCCACCAATAGCAGCGAGGGAGAAGGAAGATGTTTTGTTGGGAAGCATCCAATTTATCCGTACAAGGCCGCCAAAAAGTCCTAGCGAGGAGGCACTTTGGGACGACGCGTAAGTGTTTGTATGCACGCGCATGCACAATGCGTGAGGGGGCAATAAGCTGACGTTGATGGATGAGCTTGAGGATGTGAAGATGACACTCAGAGGACACAATAGCAACAGTAACAGTAAGCCAGCTCAGCCTTCAAGGTTGCCACGATTGATCCAGTGTACGAGAGCTGCAGAAGCTGAGATGGTGGTGCATATCATGTTCTCATCCTGGTCTTTGTGCCGTTTAGTGGCGTTTCATAGCTTGTTGACGGTTGCTTGCATGTTTCTTCTAATATCTAGTCCTATCTTGTTCCGGATGCTATACACTCTGTAAGTTGAGTGAATAAGTGAGAGAAACCAAAGGAAGCTTCTGAAAAAAAGGAGTAAACAGACGAAAGGAGCAGTTTTGATGCATGAGCTAGCATCATCAAACCTTATATGGAGAAATAAAGTTATGGTAGGCTACTTCGTATTCAATACATTCGACGTACGTATGTTTCTTGATCTGGAAAGACATTGACTGTTGTGATGTTGTCCGGGGCAATAAATCCCTAGTTTCGAGGGTAGCACCAATTTAGACTCCCCCCCTCCTCTTCAAACATGCACGGATGCATACCAAGAAACGCCACGGGCAATGACGGCGTCGCCCCCAAACGGCAACCGGCACAAACAAGAGAAAGAGTAGCAGATTTAGGGGATGAGAGACTAGAAAAGACAAAATAAAACTCAATTTTCCTTGTTCCGAGGTCGCTGCCGAGCACAAAATGGCGCTTGGAGAAGATAATGGAAGATAGGGAAAAAAGTAGAGTTTTATGAAACCTCGGACGATGACACCTGTCAGACATTACGTGTATTCGGTTCATTGATGTGAATTGGTGTATTCATGTTGTGTTCTGTTGAAATCTACCCCTTAGAGGTTTTACCATTTCGG